GGGGGGTGGGCGGTGCCCGCTGCGCGCGCCGCAGGGGCCGACGGGAAGCGGTTTCAAACGGCGGCGGGCGGGGAGCGGCGGCGGTAGGCCCGGTGTTTGGGGCCGGCCATGGAGTCGGCGGACGGGGCGGCGCGGACGCTGCTCAGCATCAGGCGGCTGTCGCGGGGGCCGCCGTTCGGGCGGGCGCAAGGGTGGCTAGGGCTCAGCCACGGCGGCCAGCTGCTCTCCCCGCCCGCGCCGCACTCCCAGGTAGGCCCGGGGCGATGGCGGCGGGGCCTGGCCGTCCCCTCTCAGCCTCCCGCCAGGCCCAGAGGCCGGGCCGCGCAGACTGGAGGTCCCTTTGCAAGCCCTGAAGGGGGGAGTTCTCCTTTTTTTTTTTTTTCCCTTGGATTTTAATGTGTTTTTTTTTTCACTCCCCACCCCTTAGGAAAGCGCAGACCCTCAGAAAACAGCGTTCCTGCTGCGCAAGCAGTGGGCCTTATACAGCGTGACCCCTCTCTACAAGTTCTGTGACGCTCACCTGAAGGATTACGCTCGGCTGCTGAGTGCTTTTATTGCTGCCGAGAAGCAGAAAGGATTGGCAGTGGAAGTAGGGGTTGAGCTGGACATCAAAGTGACTGTCTCCAGCGTTCCTGACCTGAAAGGTAGTGACCGAGACCAGGCTGCGATTCTCGTTCAGGTAAGGAGCCTTCCTGGTGCTAAATCCGAGAGAATAATTGCTGGAATATCTGTTGAGACTTAATAAAAGTAAGTCCTGTCTATTTTCAATTCAAACAGAACATTTAGATGATCTTTGAGGTCCCTTCCAACCCTAACCATTCTATGATTCTATTTCATAAACAATGGATGTGTTTAATTGCAGCTGCGAGTTCAACTCTTTGATAAGCTCAGTGTAAGACTACGGGGAGCAATCCTCTTATTTTTTAGCTCAGCAGTCAGTTTACTGCAAGAACTTGGACAGGTAGTTTAACTTCTCGGATGAAGTTGGTGTAATCCTACCTCCTGGTCACAGTTTGAGTCCAATTAATATTTCTGAAATGTTTGCCTCAAGTGAAAGGTGCTACCAAAATGCTAAGTTCAGTATGGCAATGGTTGTAGGATGTACTATGGACTGGCTTTTCTGAATGAAGCAACATAAACTCAGATTTCAGGACTGTTCCTAATGAAGTAAAAAGTGCTTTTGCTGCTGCTTGCAACAGAATTCCACACATCTTTTAGGGATGCAGTGGACAGATTGAATAACTGTATGAGCTTTACAGGAAAGAATAAGTCTTATGAAGAGAGGCTGAGGGAACTGGGGTTATTCAGCCTGGAGAAGAGGAGGCTGAGGGGAGACCTTATTGCTCTCTACAACTGCCTGAAAGGAGGGTGTAGAGAGGTGGGGGTCGGTCTCTTCTCTCAAGTCACAGGCGACAGGACAAGAGGAAATGGCCTCAAGTTGCGCCAGGGGAGGTTCAGGCTGGATATTAGGAAAAAATTTTTCACTGAAAGGGTTATCAGACATTGGAATGGGCTGCCCAGGGAGGTGGTTGAGGCACCATCCCTGGAGGTGTTCAAAAGACGGGTTGATGTAGTGCTGGGAGGTAT